TCCTCCCTTTCCTCCTTCCTTTTGAGGCAAGGTCTCTATGAATTTCAGTCTGGTCTTAAACTTGACATCATCCTGCTTCAGCTTCTTAGGGACTGGATTATAGGTATGTTCCACCATACCTGACTTTACTATGGCATTTTATACATTAGCTTGAGTATCTGTGGTTTCTGTTATCTGCAGGAGGTCTTGGAACCAACTTCCCAAAGATACCAAGTTTTTACTAAAAATTACATGCCCCTGAAGATGGGATGGTTATTTATTTAGATGAGGCAAGAATTTTACTGATTTGTTTAAGAACGGTGTAATTTTTTTTCTGTGTCATCCTTGTGCAGGGGCCATGCTAATCTTCTCTGTATCGTTCCAATTTTACTATATGTGCTGCCGAAGCAAGCACAAGAATGGTGTAATTTTAATGTTGAGGTTTTTCCTTTTTTCTTTCTCGGTTTTTGTTGTGCCAGGATGGAGCCCAGGTCTGGTACTCTCTAGGCAGTGCTTTACCACCAGCCAGTGTCCTAATCCTACCTTTTTTTTGGGGGGCGGGGGGTTGCATTAAAAAAAAAATTATTTTGGGCTAGGCATAGAGATGCATACCTTTAATCTCTATACTCTAGAGGCAGAGGCCCAAGGCAGGGCAGCCTGGTCTCTGTAGCAACTTCCAGGTCAGCCAGAGCTACATAGTCAGACCTTGTCTTAGACAGACAGATTGACATATACACACACACCTTCTATGGCTACAGTTCCATTCACTTTCATGCAAATAATTTTATTTTAATTTTAGGCTTCATTATGTATACACACCATATTTTCTATATCCACTCAATGGGCATCTAGACTGAAAAATATGGAATATCATGCTAATCCTCTATCATATAGATTTCAGTATATATACTGCCAAAGTGAACACTTCGTTTTTTTGAGATAGACTTGCTATGTGATACTCAGATTGGCCCTGAACTTGCTATGGACAGGCAGCCTAGAATTTACTTCTACTTCTACCAGCTGAATGCGAGGGTTATAGGAGTGAACCACCATACCCAAATAGTTGGATTTTTTTTTTTTTTGCGGTGGTGGGGGGGTATTAATTGAACTTTTAAAGCTAGAATTTACTTATTTGTTTGTTTATTTATTTTCCTATTTATTTATTTGTTTGTTTGTTTGTTTTTTCGGGACGGGGTTTCTCTGTGTAGTTTTGGTGCCTGTTCTGGATCTCGCTCTGTAGACCAGGCTGGCCTTGAACTCGCCTGGCTCTGCCTCCCAAGTGCTGGGATTAAAGGCGTGCGCCACCACTGCCCGGCAAAATTATTTATTTCTATCACTTATAAAGCTCAAAATGATATAAAATGTTCTGTTAGATACTATCTTCTTTTTCTTGTTCAACTAGGGTATCTTGACTTTTTTAAGTTTGACTCAAGACTATTTTGTGTTTCATTACAGTGTCAGAGCTATATGTACCTTCCTGGACTTTTCCTAGAAATAGATACTTGTGTTAGTTGTTATAACTTACTATTTTAACTCTTTTTGAAAAAAAAAATTGGTTTGATTTGATTTGGTGTGTGAGTCTGTGTGTGGGGTTGTGCATGTGTGTATATGCATGGAGGTGTCTCTCTCATTTGTGCGCACATGGAGGCCAGGGATTAATATTGGATGTCTTCCTTTATTTCTCTCTACCTATTTTCCTTCCCTGTATCACCTTGGCCCTGTTGGGGTAAAGGTGTGTGCCAGCATGCTTGACTCTACCTTGTATTTTGAGACAAGAGTCTCTCACTGAACCTGGAAGCAAATGATTGGCTAGACTGGCTGGCTAGTGAGCCCTTAGGATCCTCATGTCTCCACCTCTCACCACTGGTATTACAGATGTGTACAGCCACATCTGGCTTTTGGAGGGGGATGGTTAGGAGGTAAAACTAGGGCTAGGGAGATGGCTCGGTGAGTTAACTACTTCTTGTGTGAGTATGAGGACCCGAGTGCAGATCCCCGGCACTCATAACAGTCGGGGCTGGTAAGATGGCACCGAGGGGGTAAAGGTGTTTGCCGTTAAGCTTGACCACTTGAATCGACTCCCCATGACCCACAGAGTGGAAGAAGAAAATGGACTCCCACAAGTTGTCCTTTGACCTCCACATGCATACTGTGGCATGTGCATGTACATAGAGACACAATAAATAAAATGTAATTTTAAAAATTAAGAAAATAAAATTAGGAATGTCTAGGAGAATCTAGTCTTAGTTGGTATGTAACATGGTATACCCTGTGATGATTTTGCTATATTTTATGATGTATAAAGACATTTTTGGTTGTCATGGCCCACTGGGTGTGTAGGTTAGGGTGCTACTTGGCATCTTGTTGGTAGCGACCAGGAATGCTGCTAAACATCTTAAGGTACTTAGAACAGCTCCCATGCCCACCCCAACTCAACCATTGTCTGGCCCAGCTGTCAGTGGTACTCAGATTTAGGAATCCTCCCAAGAAGGAGGAGACTGTTACGTCAGCCCTTATAGTTGAAGTGTCTATCTATTTGATGATAATAATAGCTTACTTTCATATTGTCTTTTGGCGTTGGTGATCTTCACTGTTGTGTTTGTTTTCTTTGTAATCTTTTTCCATTGTTGGGTTTATTTTGACTTTCATGCAAACTTTTTTGTTTGTTTGTTTTGGTTTTCAAGACAGGGTTTCTCTCTGTACCAGCCCTGGCCATCCTGGAACTCTCTTTGTATATCAGGCTGGCCTCAAACTCACAGAGACCCACCTGCCTCTGCCTCTGCCTCTGCCTCTGCCTCTGCTTCTGCCTCTGCCTCCCGAGTGCTGGTATTAAAGGTGTGGCCACTGCTTAGCTTTTTTTTTTTAATGGTGCTAGGGATGAAATCCAAGGCTTCGTGAATACTGGTAAATATTCTACCACTGAGTTTCATCCCTAGTCATTAAATTTCTGTGGATAGTCTGCCTCTGAGACAGGCCTCTTCTGCGACAGGGAGCTGGCCTCAAATTCATTATGTCAGGCTGGCCTTGAATTACAGTGAACCTTCTCTTTCAGCCTTCTGAGTGTCTGCATTATAGACATGTACCATCTCACTCAGATTTCTTCTTTCAAAAAACCTGTGTGTGT